ACCTGCAGGGAGAGCGGGTTCAAAAGTTTTGCCGAGATAAATGTGCATTTGTAAAACGTACCCCGTAACAGCTTCCGCGAGAATCCAGAATTTTATTCCGAAGCGAGAACTCTTGCTCGGAATGTATTGCAGCATTGCCGTTTTACCCTTTGTTCCGACCATCGTCTCGTCGACTGACAACTCCCGTCTCGGTCAATAGTAATGAAGAAATTTTCGATTTACGAAGTCAATTAATGGTTTTATTCTTGAAGCCGGATTGTAGTTTTGGTTATTTCTTGCCGGGATTTTTTTACAGTCTACAATATGTAAGAATCTCAAAATATTTTGAAAGCGATTGCGGGCAAAAGTCATTCTAAACCATGGAGTAGATTGAGACAAGTTTTTTCGATTCCAATATTCTTTTATGGAGCTTTTCCTATTTAATCCCATATTGAAAAGGACGCCTAAAAAAGCCTTGAACTCGGAAATTGTTAGCTTTCCTTCTTTTCTCCACTGACATTTCCTTGAAAATCTACCAGTCTGGAGTCTAATTCTGTCATACAGGTCTGAAGCATATCTGAAAATTGTAATGATTGTAATTGAGAGATTATGTTCAATTGAGTTAAAAAAAATAAGAAAAAAAAACGTTTATCAAGCCTACATGTATGCCCGGAGGAAAGAATCCTAATGTAAGCCGCCTTTCCCGTTTGTCAAGTTTTATGCCCGTCGGAAAGAATCCTAATTTTGGCGGACACAAATTATTTTATGTTGTCGTATAAGTGAAAACCTATCCAAAAACATATTTTATTTAATTTATCGGAATATCACTCGTTCTTCCCGTGAAAAACTTTTTTTTCATTGACTCGGTCCTTTCGTATTTTTTTTTTTCGTTTAGCTTTTCAATAATTAAAAAAAATCGATCGTCTTTCCCCAAAAAACATTCCCGTTGGTTACGAAACTAGAAAGCCCTGAACACTGAGTAAGATTTTTCTTTTCATCCACACAGTAAAGAAAAAAAACCTGTAAATAAAAATCTTTCAAAATCTGTACCTGTTTGTTTGCTTCACAAATTCTTTCATCAGATCCAACAGATAAAAATACAGAACAGGAGGTGAATCTCTAGCTGGCATCCTGATTGGTCCAAATGCACCTCCGTGAAATGGCGTGTCCCGCTCTGCCTCTGGTGGAAACACACGGAACCAAATTGGCTGATCTCCCGGGGCGGCCATTTTCGACAGCGTCGCTTGGCGTAGTTTTTGGCTGTGACGTCACATTCTTTGTGACGTAAAACCAAATTCAAAAATTGGGCTGGGTCGATCTTTGGCACTCAAAGGAAGCATAACAAGATCGGCCAAATCGGCCGGCACATAGGAGGTTAAATAAATCTAGCTATTAGTCTTTGAATTAAAAAGAAAATAATGAAGGAACTAGACAATCTAGGACCAAGAGACTGTATTATTCATGTACGTTCCAGATGCGACAAATTGTCATTAAATAGATAAATAAATAAATAAACTGTAAACTTATTTTTTAACTATTGAAAAGTATTATAGATTTCAGTGAAGAAAATTTATCGGAAATAGATTAGACATATACGACCAACAAATGAATTAAGCTAGATCATCGGTATATATTTTTTGAGATAGAATTTTCTTATACTTTGCCAAAATGAAGATTTTACTATGCTTTTTTCAAAAATATAATAAAAAGTATGGGTCACCGTGCTATTTTTCAAGCTATGAGTCGTTGAAAATTGCCTAAATCTGGTTAGATTGTTCATGAAAAAACACATTTGTATGCATAAAAAGAAATCTATGAGATAGAATTTTGAAATAAATTGTGAGAAGATAGGTTTTATAACATGTTTTAAGAAAATAAAAAGAAAAAATGGTGTCACCGAACTTGTTTTCTTGCTACAAGTAAAAATAAAAAATTTCTCCCTATCAAGCCAGTGTAATTTTTTACTAAAAGAGTTATCTCCCCTTAAATGGCTTAGTTGAAAAAAATGATTCCAAAACACAAAATTTAATATTTGTTGGAATATTTTGAATAATACAATAAATCACCAAGTTTTCTTTAAATAAATAAACAGTGTGACAAATAAATTGCCAATCTGCCTCCTAATTTGCAGATTTGGGCAAATAACTAGACCGATTGTGTACTGCGATTGTACAATCCAAGATGGCGGTATACCATGAATCTACCTTAAGATAATTGAATTGGAAATCAACTCCTTAACATTAATTGTCCTTATATTACGATTTTTCTCCTTTTCGGCGTGTTTGGTTTTATTTTAAGAACTATACAAGTGTGGACACAGATCAGTGTGGATAGTATATTTAGATGTTTGACATTGATTTCTGACAAAAAGAGTTCTCTGTTTTTCCCCATAGGGTTCTATGTTAAACTGTGTTGTGTTGCACAGTGACAGCCAACCTGTACCAAACACTCAAATTTTGCAGTGTCGTTTATTTAATATTTAGTTTTAATTTCAAGACTGTCATGGAGGAGACACTAATTGCATGGATAACCAATGATTTTGATAAAATGTGTTCAACAATTTAGATTTTGAATAGCAGCAAAAGTCAAAATGAAGAAAATGACAGAATTGGTTGAGGCTTACAATTAAGATCTGCGGAGAGCAATGACAGGAAGAAGACCGTATGCGCTTGCGAGGGCACACGATCATTTTAAGATTGCCAGACATGTATGGGCAAGCAAGACGTTGATGGAACAATACAAATATTTTGCCGGGTTCTGCCGATACCGCATTAAGACCAAATTGGTTCAGTCAACATAAGGCAGATGAGTGGTCATTGAAGCTAGGGCCAGAGGAAAGAAGACAGGTCAGAGGAAAAGGAAGCTTGCTGATAGGAAAACTCAGCAAAACGGCAACGCGTAAAATAAAACAACAACAAAAAATACCTATATATTGCGAATACATACTGTAAACTAACTTTATTGTTAAAGAAATCAATGAGGCCATATATCAACTCAACTTATTTAAAGACCAAACAGCCTATTCAGTTCTACCAGTGATTTTTTCTTCAAACTTTGTGTGAAGGTATTTCGTGATTTTGGAAACAAATATGATGAAAAAAATAGGGGTCACCGATTTTCGCTTTGTCACTACAGCAACCTAAGTTTTGTATTTTCCCGAATATTAAAATTATATTTGCTTGTTAATTAAAGTTGTTAAAAATCCCATTATATCAAACCTACAAGCATAATTCTTGTCTCACGTTAAACAGTAGATTTGTATCTATCAATTAAAGATTCTATAGTTTAAGATTCTTGTTGTTTTGATCTCTGAAATCATGATTATTTTCATTCCCTCCAAAAATAACACGTTACAATGAAAAACGTTTCTAGTATTAAAAAATATCTACCAGTGATTTCTTCATAAAAGTTTCAAGAAGGAAAGTGTTTTATGTACTCTTTCAAATAAAGCCAAAAAAAGAATATGTCACCGATCTTTCAAAAAAGTTATGAGTATTTTTCATGGTTTTTTTCCCGTTTGTTTTAAAGAAAAGAGTTGTCTTTCTTCAGGACATTGAATCTGACGTCATAGTACAAGTTTCCCGCACTATTCGCAAATATAGCAATTTGGACGTTTCAAACTCACATTCAAATTTTCAATAATAACAACCATCTTTACCTGCTATACTTCCCGGTTAAACAAGAGATCACATGTATGTATCAGGATCTCATGCTGTTGTCGCACATATTTAGCCTTCAGAAACACTGTCCGTTGGCATATACGATCTCTGTTATTGCTCTCTTACAGATCTTGAATAAATGAGACAGTATATAGAAAATACAAATAAGCCGGAAAATACGTCTAGTTTAGAATTGAACAATTTTCGTTTAACTCTTAGTAATAACTTTCCGTTGCAAACAGAAGAAAATCTTATGAATCTAAATTGGCCTTTGTCGGAAATTGAAACAATAACAACGTCGTATACAATAGCTGGCACTGAAAATCGAAATTTGTTAACAATCTTTCCGGTCATTGTAGCATCTTGAAAGTGAAAAATTTAATGTTGGATTTTATTCCCGGAGCATTTTTTTTTCTAATAAGTTAAATTAACAACATTTTAGTTTTAAACACCTTAAATTTTATTTTAATTATCGTTCAAATATTGATTCATTAAAAGTTTTGCCTCAAGCTTCAGTGAGAGCAAGCAAAATCTTTATCATTTTCCCCCTAAGACAATTTTAAATGAAGCAAATGACAAAAGACAATGAATTTTTATTTTTACTAAAAGATTTTGTCAATTGATCAGTATAAATAAGATTGAACTTAAGTACAAATTCGCACATTGTTTTTTGGGAATCATTCAGAGAATAAGGGAAACAAAAAATGCATATGGTGCCAACAGAACTACTAGAATCATTTTTAATCGGCCTAGGCTGTTAAAGGCTCAATTTTGAAAATCACAGAAGTTCAAGTTCTCAGAGTAAGTCATTTTTACCCTCGAACACACGTAATTCAAAATTTGAATTTTAACGTTTAATGTCATGCAAGATTACAGGCCGTGTAGTATCATTTGTGTTCCTTTTTGTTAAATTTTCACTAGCTATTAGTGCGGCGCTCAATCCCACTTTTCTTGCAAAACGGATTTTGACGCATACATCATATTGGAATCGAGAAAAACGCGAAATAGGACGTTATAATTTGAGGGTTTTTGTCGAGCTATAGAAACAACGTCATAGAGCTCTTATGTCACAACCAAGTTGCGTTAGTTTATGCTTGATCTTTAATTTAAATACAATAATTCACGAGCCTTTGGAGATAATGCATTCTCATGAGTCGTTAAGTTATATAATACCTTAAATGTAACATTAAAAAAGAATGTGTTTTATATACCGTAAATTCAGAAATTATTGCGACTTTTTTTATCAATGCGAAAAATGCATCTGCCGTAATACACCGATATATTAAGATTTATATATCAAAAGGTCACAACAAAACTTAATCTAGGAACCAACAAAAACAAAGAAAAAGATAAAACGTTTACCTTGTTGAATCTGCTGCATTCTTAAATTGATCATATTTTCAACACCATTTTTCAAGCCAATTTCCACTCCGGATCGGATTTCCTGATCTATATAAGCCTTTAATAGCTTGTTCATTTCAGATACATCAAATTCAGCTTTGAGATTGCCTTTCATTTGATCTAAAAGCGGCATTGATACTGTCTTTCGGCATCCCAACCCGCTACATGGGCTGTTTTCATTTAATGGCATAGATGACACAAGTTTCAGTAGAACAAATAATCCTGTCCAAAGTCGTAAAAACATTTTGTGTGTGTTACTTTTTTCTTCCCTTAACACGCTAACGTAATTTTAAAAAGTTTTCTTCTCTTAATTCTATTCAAATGTATTAAATAATGGATTACACTGCTACATTATTCATAAGAACGTTATTCCTCTACGTTATGGTTTAATAAAACCTGACATCGTCATCCCTCTAGATCTTATACGTTGAATTATTGGACAAAAAAAACCAACACGTGATGTGATGCATGAAAAAGGGGCGTTTTCAATGTCGAGAAAGTGCAACGCAATACATTAATTGGATGGTGCATTTGACTCAATAAAATTCTTATTTGGTGTTCTTCGTAACCCTTCAGACGTTTGAAAGCTTATCATTTTACGTTAACATAAAACTACCAGGTTTTTTTCAATTTTTTTATTTTGTTTACAAAAAAACACCAGTTAATCAAGTTATCGGTAACTAAGCATGTACAAGTTAACCATTTAAAATCGTTTACCATACTTCAATCTTTGCAATTTCCGTACATTTGTCTTACAATAGCTAAACAAAATATGAGTTAAAAATTTTAATTTATATGCGAACATTTAATTAAATACTTAAAAGTTCGTGTGTAAACTTGCTTCGGTTGAGATATTTATATTTTAAAACTTTGCAGTGAGCCATGCATTAGACGTCAAAGTTACCGTACCATTTGAACCAACTTTTTACTTAGTATGATTAAAGTATTGCTTCAAATCATGATTTCAGTTGAAGATTTAAAATCAATAAAAGGGTTGTTTTACAAATTAATATGATGCATAATGTTTCTCGTAGAATTTAGATTGAAATATTAAGTACATACACTATATTTTGTTCTGTTCTAGACAGATATATCATGTTCAGGAGAAGCCTTTTGCAAGAAGTACCATTCGAAGAAGGGGACGTATCCTATAGGTGCTCGGCGAATGCAATTTCTTCTCAAGACTGATATTTTAAGACGCGAACGTGTGTGTGTATGGCGTTCCTATCGCATTAACATACAAAATGTATACTCCATATCTTCCTTTATTGATCTTTTGGACACTGAATCGCTCGGCCAACAGATTTTCCTTTTATTTGATTGATCAAGGGGTGTTATCTTCTGACAAATTTCAATATTTTTGTTTTTATCAATCTCCAAAAGTCTCAAAACAGTTCACTCTGAAGACATTTTTTTTTAACTTTATAGTAGAGAGTCTTCTTTCAACACATGTCATGTTTGATAATCTACATGTCTACATGCATAATCCCTAGGGGCTTTTTGGGATATTTATTTTGTGTTTTGTTGGGATTAAGTTTTAAATTCAAATACCGGTTTTTGAAATTTCATTTTTTTTTTGAAAGTTCGTGTCTTCCGGTTTTGAAATCTCCTCTCGTGTGAGTGCACTTATTTTATTTTTTATTCAGAGGTGTTATCATGGAAGTGAATGCATTTATGTATTCATTTTAGATAAGTAACAATTAATAATGTAATGCTGTGTCCTTCAGTTAGTTTTTATATTTTGTTTAAATTACTTACTACAGTGTAAGCACGTAAGGGTACTGATGGATCCTTTGTAGACGAAACGCGCATCTGGCGTACAAAATTAGAAGTCTGCCAGTGGAATCTTTGAAGGTTTTTTTATCAGGTCAAAAGCAAGAATTGTTTACAGAAACAATTTGTGTTTATACAGATTGCTTTTGTCTCGGAGAACATATCATTATAAAACTCTATTGAAACCGACCTATTACTACAAATTCATTATATAGATAAACAGTCATGACCTATACTATCCATCAAAACAAAGGACACAAACATTGCATTTCCAATATATACTAGAACACACCCACGGCGTCACAGGTCCGTGACTGAATCAAAGTACCTATATCTTATTTTTAGCCTGAATTTTTAGTATTCGTATTGAAATCTGATAAAGTCATGCTGATTGTAAGGTGTACAGTTTTCTCTGCTTTCAAAATCTTTCTGTTTGAACCCGTCCTGGTTTTCGTACTACAATAAACTTACTATAAACTAAATTTAATTTTTTAACTGATTAACCTCAGTAAATGATGGTAGCCTTGTTAAATAGTTTACTATATTGTGACATAGATATAAAACAGCTACTGGAAGTATTCCAGGGGCCGGTTTCACGAAGCTATCCTAAGACCTGTCATAAGATATATCTTAGGACATGTCTTATGATCCTCTTATGACTATCCTAGGACATATCTCAGACCTCGCCTCGAAGTGTCTTAGGATGATCTTAGCAAAGATATCATAAACCTGTCGCAAGTTCTTTAAATTTTTAAATATTAACATTGATTTATGGGAAAATTCATGTTAATGTAGTATGTATTTCCCATAAATTACTAAGTGTATTGATAATTAGATAATTTGGAAAATCAATATAAAAAATAAGTGCAATTTATATAAATAATCTATTGATAATATACTAATATACATATGAACTTTAAATACAAAATCGAGAAAAAGGAATAAAATTATGATTTTTTTTTTTGTATAAGTGAGTTGAATTCAATTTGTCACTGTATCGGTTATAATAGGGTTAAAGGATAAAATCGTGCATTCTTGATACCAATACATCGAATGTTTATTATTGACAAATCATGACAATCCGTCAACCAAAAAAGATTTAGTTGGGAGCCGGAAAAGGAGAATGGATACATAGATAATAATAAGATAATTTACAAAATTAATATAAAAAATTAGTGTAATTTGTATATATAAATAAACTTATGACTATCCTAAGACCATCATAAGACACCTCTCGTGTAGTCCTAACTTTATGACCAACTTTAAGAGGTGTCCTAATTTAGGACCACTTTGTGAAACCCACTTAGGACTAAGATATGTCGTAAGACCATCCTAAGACATGTCTTAGTCCTAAGACAGCTTCGTGAAACTGGCCCCTGGTTTGCACACATTTAATTGCAGGTTTATTAAAACATAGGGTGTTTTAACTATTATAGTTTATTTCTGAATTCTAGTAATATTTTTTTACCTTTTTTTTTACCTGTAAAATTTTATAAAAGATATTTAATTCTACTATTAAATCCATGAAAATATGCAAAAATATTTAATACGTTTACCAGGAAAATGTATTAAATTAGACTAATATAAAAAAAAAATTACAAAGATGTTTATTATTTTGACCAAATTTTTAAATTGTTGGTACATTCTGATATTCATACATCTTAAAGGGTCAATAAAAGATAGACAATGCATCTGTATTTATGGTAAAGTCTTTTTCCATAACATTTTGAAAGGTAAGGTATATTTTTAATATATATATATATATATATATACGGGGCGATGGATCATAAAATTATGATACAGTACACTACAAAATATAATATATAACAAGTCTAAAAGGGTACAACATCACCAAGAAATAATTAAATCATGAACAAATTTTAGATATTTCGGATAACTGATATCCTTCATCAGTAAGATATAAAATGAATCTTATCTTGACATGTGGTAGTCACTGTAAACCTACAGATAAGCATCAGTACCTTTCTCCCCAAAGCTGTCACCCCAAACACTGTACAAAAAGTATCCCCTATAGTCAAGTTCTCAGAGTAAAGCGGATTTGCTCCTCTGAGGAGGCTGTCACTAAACGGTTACAGGAACTTCGCTGATTTTTTACCAAACGCAGTTATAAGAAATGGGACATAGATAAGGGATTTGCACGTGCTTACAATAACAGCCGCAATGACCTATTACAATACAAACAGAAGAGGCGCAGCAAAATAGTTCCATTTGTTTTAACATACAATCCCGCCTTTACTTACCTTTCACGTTTGATCCATACCAATTGGCAAACTATTGCCAAGCACCCTAAATTATCCAAGATCTTTACAAAACCTCCTGTCTTAGCTTTGCGGAGACCAGCAAGTCTGCAAGACTCATTTGTGAGAGCTGATGTCTCCTCCAATAAAAGCTGTTCAACTGCAGGATGGTGCAAGTCGTGTGGTAACAGACGATGTCTTACTTGCCAACAAATACTGAATACTCAACCATTTACTTACCACTCCACCGGGTCTGTGTACACTGCAATGTAACTTGCAAAACCCAGAATGTTGTATAACTTCAGTGTCGATGTGGCATGCAGTATGTTGGCGAGACAGAACAGCCATTCAACAAACGTATGAATGGTCATCAAAGTGACTACACCTGCAAGCCCGACCTCCCCATAAGTCGTCATTTGAGATCACCTGGGCACGCCCAAGCTGATCTCAAAAACCTTACCATCACTATCATAGACCACAACGAGGGTTGGTCAAGGGCCGACAGACTTGCTCGGGAATGGTTTCGGATACGAAAGCTTAGGACAGTTTCCCAAGAGGGCATAAATGAAAAAATAATAGAATGTGTCACTCAATTTCCCTATCATCACTTGTTTCCACTTCACATTAATCGTTGAACGAAGATGTCTTGTGAGAGGACCAACAAAAACTGTCCTCTCACAAGACATCTTCGTTCAACGAAACATTCTTTTGATAATGTTACTTTCCAAATCATAGAAGTCAACACCGAGTGGGACACCACGGCGAGAAGGAGAAGAGAAAATTTTTGGATCCACCAACTCCACACTTTAGAACCCGATGGTCTTAACGAAAAAGATGAGAAAAGATACAGGAAAGATAAAGAATAATTTAGTACACAGCATCGTCCTTTTTATCCTGTAATATTGGCCAATGGACGTTGCTAACTTCAACTACCATTTTTGAAAAAATCTTGAACTTCATCCAAATTATGTATTATTTTTAAGGCAGCTAAATTCAAGTGCAACATATACATTGAGCTGCAAAAGTTTCTTATCATCTACATCTGATTTCACCTGGATAGATGCACGCTTGATAAAGCTAGTTAGTCTAGCGAAATATTGCGTTTATTTTCATCATTTTGCAAATATTTTAAACATTCTTATATTTACATACTAAATAGTGTGTTAAAATTACATTGTTAGGCAATCTATATATATATATATATTTCTCTAATTCTTTGACAATTTATACCTTTCTGCACTCATTGTATAAAAAAATTTAATCAACGTGTGGTTGCCGGTGATCTCAGAAGATGATTGGATGAATTTAAGGGTCATAACCTTTATCAGCTCAAAATATGCTAACAGGTGTTAATGAAATTGACAACTTTGTGAAATGTGGAAGGCACTC